AGCTGCACCACAGCCTATAAGTCATTCTAATAAATCCCCTGAGATTAATTCTATAAGTTCTGTTACTAAAGAAAACCCTAATACAGTTTTTCCCCCCTTCTTTAAGGGGCTCTGACAACTTCTTTATAGAGATTTAAATCCTTTCAGATTCTGCTAGCTCTTTTAAGGCTAAACTGACAAGACACAGGTCTGTCAACCCAGTAACCTCTCTCTCTCTCTCTCTCTCTCTCTCTCTCTCTCTCTCTCTCTCTCTCACAAAAACCCCACCCCACACACCCTCCTCCCACCCACCACACGGTATGCAGCGGGTTCGAGCTGTCTTTTGCTCGAACCGCCATGGCAGGTGGGTGAAAGACCCGAGCTAACATGGGGTTAGCTTGTTAAATTACAATAAAGCCTCGTGCAGTTTGCAGCAAGCTCTCGAATCCGCCTGGTGATTGGGATGACCGTGGTCGTGGCCTGGAACCCCGGATACCTGAGTTTTCCAGGGGTCAAACAAAGTTTGATAGGGGTGGCATGGGTAAAAACATTCCTTGATAAAAACTATCTCTCAGGCAACTCTAAGTTCTTGTACAATGTGACAGTTTCAGCATCATATATGTAGAGTGAGGACATGGCCCCTCCAAAGTTGAGGGGAAGGGTTTTGTTGTAGATATGAGGGAGAAAACAGCCAGAGGCATCTGGAAAAGAGTCCAGACAGAGAAAGAGGTAGACTAAATATGGCTAACAGTTTGAACCCAGCCACAGAGAAAAGAGGGGCAAGAGAGGAAGACAAAACAAAACAAAAGAGCCAAAGGAGAACTTGGCTGAAATAGCTGTGTTATACAGGAAAGAGAAGCTGGGGGAGGGAAGCCCAAGAGCTGGAGAAGCTTAGGGAGTGAGGTGAGAAGAGCCACAGGTGGTTGTGATGTTAGGAAGTCTAGACGCCAGCAGGTGTGTTGGTATGCTAATAGTCACCACAGTTAGCCCATGGTCCCCAGTTTCTTTTGGATCAGACAATTGTTAAGGAAAAACAGCAGCAGAAACAACAACAAAACACACCAGCACTATATTGAGAGACCTCTCCGAGTGTAGTGAAAGATTTAACAGAAGGCGGAATTCATTTCACATGAATTCCAAAGAGATGGCACCTGGGCTGTGAAATAACCTTTTGAAAATAGTGACGGTTATCTGAGATGCAGAACAGTCTTCAGAGGTACCTAGCAAATCAGAAGTTTTCAATGAGAATTGCTTAGGTAATGGTTCCTTCAAACAATTGCAGATAAAAGGTTTTGGTATGTGGAAATTGATTTGCTAAAGGTACCTTTTGTGTAACAATAAAGAAGCTGTTTACCCAGCCATGAGGCAGTCTTTCCTGTTGCTACTAAAACCTTCAGCTTGTTAGCTGGAGTGACTCTTCACTGACGTGAATAATACCGACGACAGAGAAAGGTTAAGCTTCAAATACCTAACTCTTTTCCATTCCCCAATAATACCAACAACAGAAAGCATCCTACAACCACCCACTAGTACAGAAACTTACATTTTAAGAACAATAAATCGGGCGTTGGTGGAGCATGCCTTTAATCCCAGCACTGGGGACGCAGAGGCAGACGGATCTCTGTGAGTTCCTGGCCAGCCTGGTCTCCAGAGCGAGTGCCAGGATAGGCTCCAAAGCTACACAGAGAAACCCTGTCTCGAAAAACAAAACAAAACAAAACAACAACAACAACACTAACAACAAAAATAGACACTCAGAAATGTCCTTAGTTGTGAGTGTACCTACAACCTTGTTTACAAAGCCGCAATGAGTTGGAGTTTTTGAAAAGACCACTATGATTTCGACAGTGTTAGTCACAGCCGTTACGTGCAACAACACAGGACACGATGCTACACATTCTTTATTTGGAATTGAGTACCGTGAAAACATTTTTAAAAAGAGGCCAAAACAATAATGTCCTACTGAGCTAGGCACTCTGGCACTGAAAGCGTGAACGACCCAAGGTAACGATGTCGTCACCAAGGGACTACCGTTAGAGCCCAAGTCCCTTGACTCCGGGACTGATGTTTTCCACTAATTGTGCTCCTCTCTCTCTATCTGAGAGCTGCAAGTGCAAAGGGCTGGAGAAGGCAGGAGACTTCTATGAGCCAAATCTGCCAGGTGGGGATGCTCTCAACCCTGAAGGTCCTCGGCAACCGCCCGTGACACTTTCTTTTGTTTTGGCGGAGCAAGATGAAAACTGCAACCACAGACCCCAGGGACCAAGAACTGGAACTAGGTACCGCTTGCTATGGTAACTCTCTCTTCCTCGGCCGGGGCCAGCCGGCCTGCCCTCTCTCACTTCTCCCTTCCGCCAGGCCCCGGCGCATCCCCACTCCCCATCCCTCGGTCCTCCCTTCCTTCCTTCACCCGGTCCGCACTGCACACCCAAGTTCCGTGTCCCCGCTCCCTCCAGTCTTAGCTCGGGTTCGCGGCACTGCACGCGCGCTCCAGCTGAGACTTCGGTCGGAGCCAGGGAAAGCGCGGGTGCCGAGTGGGTCCTGGGGCTCCTCAGGACAAAGCACGACTTAGACAATGAGGACCGTGCCTCCTCCCCGGAGGCGCGGCGCCGGCTCCG